CGTGGCCTTGGTGTTATCAGCACCACACTCTCCCGAGTGAGCCACGGGCCGGCCCAGCAATGTCCTAATGTTTCCCCCTTCATCCACTCTCTGAATACATTTTCTACCCGTGTCCATGACCATGTGAAGTGCTGTGGATGGAGGTGGGGCTGAGCACACCATGTCCTCGTCCTCGTCCTAATGGAGTGTCATGAGGAGGAAAACACAGTCGTGCATTGCTTAATGACGGGGATATGTTCTGAGAAATGCATCGCTCGGTGACTTCGTAGTTGTGCACACATCACAGAGCATACACAAACGTAGATGGTACAGCATACCACACACCTGGACTATATGATACAGCCTATAGCTCTCAGGCTACAAGCTTGCAGTGCATGTCCTGAATACCGTGGGCATCTGTAACACATGGCAAGTATTTGTGTATCTGAACACACCTCACCATAGAACAGGTATAGTAGGAACGCAGGGTTATAATCCAGTGGTGACTGCATATGCGGTCTGTCATTGACCAAAATGTCCTTATGCCATGCACGGTTGTACAGGGTAACCTACGGCCTCTCCTCTGGGGGTACTGGGGATGGCGACACAGAGGGGACAGCACTCAGTAAGGCTTGGCCCTCTCAAGGACAGGAGGCCAGAGCAGAGCAAGGGAGGGAGGGAGGCCAAGCTATGCAGACCTTGGCAGGGGTTTTGGTTTCAGCCTGAAAACGGTGGGAAACCCCTGAAGCAGGCGGGGGCAAGGGGAGACCAGATCTGTGTTCTGTCAAGGTTGCCCTGGACAGAACTGCAGAAAGGGCTGAAGGCCAGATGGGCATGCCGGGCGTTTTCTGGGTGAGGGTCTGCCGAGAGGGAGGGATGGATCACCAGACTCATGGTCTGGGAAACCACATTTCCACAGGATGATCAGAGGTAAATAAGAAGGAGAGGAAAAGAGGTTCGGGTGTCCTGCTGTGAGACACACCTTGCATGGGAGTTTAGATAGAGGCTGAGAAGTATCGTAGGGAACAAAGAAACCCGCTTTAGCCTTTTGCCCCAGTGGCTCCCACGCTCAGTCTTCTTGTAAGCTCTATTCATTCCCTCACCTCAGGCTGGCGAGCACAGAGACTCACTATGGCCTTCCTGACCAGGTGTGACTGCTGGACCACACATTTGTGTGCTGTGTCAGCATCTCACACTGGCCCAGCTACGTCCCGTGTACCATGGGGCAGAAATGTACATGGTGGTGTTCCCATGAGGATACAGGGCATAGGGCCTGGCCGAGACCCTCCCTGAGGTAGCAGTGGCTCTTGTCCCTGTGGTGTCTGCTTCCCTCCCTCAGTGCTCATGGCCAAGCCTGGTGCCAGCTCCAGGCCTCACCCATGACAAGGCCGCAGCCCTCTGGATGCTGTGAACAGCCTAGAGGTGGGCATGGGGCTCATGGCAGCTAAATGAGAGACATCCCCAGCCTTGATGGGGAAAGCTGGACTGCCTCACTGCTAGGGACACTGAGCAGGCAGAAGAAAAGCCTGGAATGCCTGAGGATGACGGCAAGAAGGAGAGTGGGGCCAAGAGCTGGGGAAAAGCCCCTCCAATATCATCTGTGTACCTGGATCCAGCTGTGCTTGAAGCTTGCCAGATTAACCCACAGGGTTTCAGTTATGTGAGCTTGTCAGTGCTGCCCTCCTTAAGCCCACATGATGTGGGCTTCTGTTACTTTCAGCTGAAAAAGGACCACCGGACACCACCCCTTCCCCATTGGATAAGGCATTATAGTGGGAAGACCAGGAGCCTGGTGCTCAGGAGGCCTGAGTCAGTAGACCCA